CCCCCATCTTGTCCCTTTCTACCACCTCCTCCTCTCCCACATTGAGGTGAGGGGGCCCCCATCATGTCCCTCTTCTGCTGCCCCCCGGGTGTCTCGCTGGGGGCCTGCTCTGAGGTTCTGCTGATAAGCTTTTATCAGCAGTTAATAATTGATAAAAGCGCATATGAAGCAGAATGTTTAAACCAGATAAACASAGTCAATGTTGAAAGACTTAATTATCACCCAACATTGTTAAACCATTTATATTTTTTTTATTTTACACAGGGGAAATGAGAATCGAGTTCCACAACAAATATGCGGTGCAATAATGAAGAGGATTTCTGAAAAAAATGACATTTAATACTGTGCTCAYGCCCTGAAAAAAAAAGGAAAACAAATGGAAACAACAAAAACACTTGTGGATCTGGAGAGCTAAGGGATGTGAAAGAAACCTGTTGCTAACAATTTCTAGTAAGAAAATTCAGATTTTTTCATAAGTAAAATTGGACAAATATAATTTTTACTATTTGTAGGCAGATGGATGGTCACATACAAGCTGAATCACTGCAATGCTAGTTGCATCAGAAATGATCAAAAGTGCTACTAATTGGTGCTTTGAAACTTTCTTAGTTAGGAAGTATGGCACAGAAGTCCGAAACAGGTTTCTTGTGTTCCTCTCTTCATGTTTTTCTCTGATTTGCAAGGCTATTCACTTAGTGACACATATTCTAATGTAAAATTGATGACAATTTATAGTAACGTAGGTTGCTGTTAYAGTTTTTAGTTATTTTACACAGAATTCTTCAAGAAAGGGTAGCTGAAGCATACAAGAAAGACTTAAGTCATTTGAAGCATCCAGATCATTTCCTGGAGCTACAGTTTCTTACTGCAATAGAACTGAATGACCTTTGTCAGGAAATAAGCTGATTCCTCATGTTAAAAACAGCTCTTGGTGAGATTTTATCTGCCAGGGCATTTAAACACCTCTGCGAGAGAATGAGTTTGACCTGCCGACTTCTTCTCTAAAAGCTGTGCTGTTGTGCAAGCGCCTCCGTGGAATGCTTGCTATTGCCATCTCTTTTAGGGATGACAATACTACTCCATGGGATCCATCTGAGTGAAAGGCCAGCATAAAATAGCATTAGAAAATTCTTCTCTTTGCTCAATACATTTTATTTCTTAAAGAAAAAGAAAAGAAACACCTTCCCAATCCTCAAAAAGCTTCCTCCATTTCCCATTTGTGCCCCAGGCTAAGTCCGAGCAGCACACTGCAAAGCAGTGAGTAACAGCCATACCGTGATTTCATTACCGCATTTTACTTTAGAAAACGGTAATTAGCAAACAGCAATAAATTTTCCCCCCRCATGTCAAGCAAAGATTCCTTAAGAGTGTTCCTCTGTCATATAATTTTTGTGGAAACCATACATTTAAAACTTTTGCATTGCTGTTCACAGTGGATGCAAAATGCATTTTTGTATGTGCACACAACATGATTACTCCCTGGTGCTTCTCATCTCTGCACAACTATAGTTGAACAGCAAAATAATGTGCAAGTTCCACTGCACAAATAATACCTAGAGTTCTTGTCTTGTTTCCCAAAATCAGATTTATCTAAAAAAAGAACACGCTTGTACTTAGGATATTGGTGCAGAGGTGTAGGTTGTTGTAAAGGGAGACTCGATAGCATTCAAGTGCTATACAAGTAGAAAAGGGTATAATTATAAATTTTGAATTCCTCATTACCACAGCGGTTGCTCATCTGAATTAGTCCTCTCAAAGATAAAGAAAAACCCAAGAAAAATATGCAGCTAAGAAGGACTTTATCTGTCTAAGCAATTGTATTAAAAATAAAACTGCTTGACAAAAAAAGATAAAGCACCCGYTATACTATGATTGAAAGACTGCTTTCTTGGTCATGCTACTTTTAGCATACATCATATGACTAAACCAGATTAGGTTAGTCAAAATGGAAGCTTTTCATATAGCAAATCCAGGTTACTTACCTTGTGATCCAAGAATTATGTAAAAATACTTTGAACTCACTCTTTTTCCATCCATCTCTCCCATTTCTGTTCATCAGAAAGTTCGGTTTCTGATGAAAGTTAATTGCTTGCTAAWGAACTGTGAGTTCATCATTCAAAGAAACACGGTACTGAAAGGGTCCTACTGGATCAGATCCAGTCAGTAAATAAATCCCATCCTGTCCCATCCACATTTCCAAACAAAACCCAGACTTAATTCTAAACTTACAAGCTCCATCATCGTAGCTTTAAAATAAGCTTTTTCTTTCCTGTTAAAAAAAAAAAGGACAATTAAAACAAAACAACAAAAAACTACTAGGGATCAAGTAGTAGCTAGGACTATAACAGCATACCTACTTTTTTCCCCTTTATGCTCCAACCAGTGATTTCTGAGCTCTAAAATACAACCTACACAGGATACATTCTTGTATTTCCAATCCTAACTACTCCTCTATACCATTCTAAAGTTAGCTGAAGAGTCAGCCGTGTTTAGTGAGCTCTTAGAAATACTTAAGGCTGTTCTGAAATGGTCCTGGGGGTTGAAGACTGCTCTGGCGTTACCTGTGACCAGTGCAATTGCAGGAGGCCACCGAAAGGGTGTAGTCCTGCTCTCTCCCTTCATCTCCCCCATCTTCCCCATTCTGCACAGATCAAATGGCTGCAGAGACCTGGCCTAAGGAAAAATACTTTTTCTTGATGGGTTCACTTTCTGTTTGGTTTACTGCAGCTGCCTGAGCTCTAGACCCAATGCAGGAGGGAGGAACACACAGGAGCAAGGGAACCACCCCTTTCAGCAGCAGCTCACTATTACCCCTAATTACAGGTAATTTCAACCCATTCCCCGAATCATTTGTGCATGAACACAATTGGAACAGGCGGCAGAGGTCCAGGTTTCTTTCCAGGCAGCCTTTAGAGATCTGTACACTGTCACAAGGATACTCTTGATTTCTTTTTTTCTGCTATAAATGTCTTTCTGTAAGAGAAATGAATAGGTGCTCTGAGTGCTATATTCATGTGCTCTCAGCATGCAAAGGTGCTACCCTCTGCGGAGCAGTTTCTAAAGCGGATTGCTAGCTTCACATGCAAATGATCGCTTACATTTGTTCCTGTTATTGTACCCCAACCAAATCAGGTTACCACAAAATGGAAAGAACAGTAGTTCTGCGTTAAAAACAAAACACCAGGAGCAGCAATTGCAAGAAGCAAGTAAAGAAGGATTGTCAGGAGGCAGAAGCAGTGAGGAAATGAAAGCAAGTCTTTCTTTCATCTAAGGTAAATCTAAGTTTAATTGACGGATTTTCTAGAGAGTCAATATTTTTATCTTGTTTAGAAAAAAATCATTTTTTTTCATACAGCAACAAAGTGGTTAAATATCTAGCCTTCCATCTTGATCCATGGTAAGGCATATACTACTTGCATAGGGAACACTTTTTAAAAWATATATATATATAAAAGATTATTTCTGTTTGTCCTATCCAAAGGGAAATAAATATGCCTGAAGGTTCAACAGGGGCAAACCTAACCCATTTCTTCATACATCCCAAGCACAGAAATAGAATTCTTTACTTTATTGAGAGCTTTGCGGTCTAAGTACTAAATGACAGATAGTAATTTCAAGTAAACAAGGCCAGGATTGAACACATTATGAAACATGATCAGAATGTAAACATTTAACTTTAACTGTCTCAGTTTGATGCCAGTGTGAGTTTTTGGTTTTTTGAGGAGTGGCAGTTCATCTCAACTCATTTCTGGAGAATCATCCCTGCTTTTAACAAAATTTTTCCCCTTCTTTTGGGCTGGAAAGAAGACCTGACTTGCAGCAGCAACAGGCTGTGCTGAAGCAAGTGCTGCCCATGGGGAGCAGCACCAGGCACTAGAGAAGCCCCTGGTGGAAACCTGTGGCATGGGCCCAAACCCTCAGCTCTTGGCCCTAAACCCGGCTCTCCAAGCACACAGGCTTAATATTGATTTTAAATGTTTGTATCCTGGCTAATGCAGCTGTGGGGAGTCACATCCCTTATATCATACCCGGCTTTTGTAGCTTTAATGGTGGGATGTGGTTTAATTCACATAATTTCTGTCTTAAGAAAAGATTAAGAACGTCTGGAGGCTTGTAGATTAAAAATGGTATTTCTGAAACACATTTACTTCCATTCTTCAATAACTTCATTCTTCCATTCTTCTGCCCAGGGAGGTTGTGGAGTCTCCTTCTCTGGAGGTCTTCAAAACCCGCCTGGATGCCACCCTGTGCCACATGTTCTAGGTGTGCCTGCTTGAGCAGGAGGGTTGGACTAGATGATCTGTAGAGGTCCCTTCCAACCTTAAATAAATATTCTGAATATTCTGAAATATTCTGAAATAACATGCTGTAGTATTTCCAGGTGTATGTGATTAATATCACATATTTAGTGAATTTGCCTGATATACCAAGAGTCTCAGATTGCTTATATAAAGTTGATTTTCTTTTATGTTTCTGCTCTGCCTTTTTCAGGGAGACTTTATTGAATGGAGGGATTACGTGTTGTTGCCTGATGATCCTCTAGTAACACCCATTTATCTTACACACGTACTCCGTCCTCAGTGCACACGTGCATTTAATTTTAAGATTGAGTAATCCTGGCTGAAAGGTCATCGCATGCAGACATCTTTTGAGGATTAGGGATTAATAACGCACTTGATATAATAGCCATCTGGAGCCCACACTTCAATGTCTAAGCTCTACAACACATGATAATAAAGCTAAATCATCTGCAAATAGGGAGAAGTTAGGCAAAGATTACACGATTTTTCAGGATTTTGCAAACAGCTATTGGCAGATTCAAAAAGAGAAGCCTCCTACCTTAAATCCTAAGGTAGTATTCTGTCTGCTAGACAAATTCTTCCCGTATCCACATGTCAGGGTCCATTAACATACAGAGCTTTCTAAAGACATGTCCAGAAAGTCCATAAAGTTGCACTTTAACATTTTATGCTTTGCATAATACTTCATAACACCGCAAAAYAGAGGAGCGGCTGCCCCTGGGCTGCTCCTTGACGTCCCCTTTGTGGGGGACAGGATGGGTTAGGAGAGGAGGTCACTACAGAGCCGCGCAGCACCGGGGCCGCAGGCTGCTCCAAAGCTGCGGTCTGTCCCAGCTCCTGCACACAGCCAGTCCCGGGATTTGCTCAGCATCCCTCGGGACTGCCTGGGAGTTGCTGTCCTGGGAATGCAGCACTCGGCAGTGTCCGAGCGGTGCTTTTTAGCTCCAACCTCTCTCTTCCTTCCCACTTACAGCCCCGCCGCCACCTGCGACTCCTGCCTGTYGCTCGCGCGTGCCGCGAGCCCAGCTTTGTTTCCTGGCGCGCTAAACAGCGTTGTCCGCACGCCTCCCAAACCGGGCAGCGAGGACGCTAATTAAACCAGCGCGTTAATTAAGCAGCACGAAGAGGCGCTGCCGCCCCCTCCCGGGCGGCCCGTTCCCCCCCGCGCCGCGCACGGCGCCTGCGTGCGGCGCCCCGGCACTCGTGACCCGGCCACAACACGGGCGACACCGGGAGCCCCGGCCGGGGCGCCCCGCGCCCGCCCGGCCCCTCCACATGGGTGCTTAGCGAAACGCTCCGCCGCCCCCTCCCCTTCCATCCCTCCCCCTCGCCCCCCAAAAAAGTGCTGGTGCAAAACTGCAAAACTTTAGAAACCTAACTGCTTTTTTTTCTTTTTTTTTTTTTTCTTGTTGTTTTTCTTCCTCCTCCCTATTTTGGGGCCCAAATTTGCAGGACAGGAACTGTTGACAATTAAGTGATGAAACTCTGCAAAAAAATGGAGGCAGAGAAAGACTCTGGAAGAAGATTGGTGTGTAGCTGCCTTCGGTCTATTTGCTATTTGTGCCTTTTTTTTTTTTTTTTTTTTTTAATTGATTTGTGCTTAATTGTTTGCAAAAGGGAAGCGCTGCCCGGGAAGCGCAGGCAGGCAGAGCTACTTCAGTGCGCGAGGGAGCAGCTCAGGCTGAAGGGGGTGGAATTGAACCGAGGGGAAGGGGAGGGTGGGACAATAATTATATATATATAATATATATATATATTTCTTTTTCTCCCCCCCCCCCCCGGGCCTTGTTTTGGGGGGGGGGGCCGCCAACTTCTCCGCTGGGTGCTGGCCCGCTCCTCGCTCCTTGGTGGCCCCTTTGCGCGGACCCCCCTGCTCCTCCGCCCCTTTCCCGGCTCGTTTTTTTTTTGGGTGTAGGGAAAACGGAGGGAAAAAAAAAAAAAAAAAAAAGGAAAAACAAAACTAAAACCCCGCGCAGGCTCCGGGGGAACCCGGGGTTCGTGCTGGGGGGTGGGAGAAGGGGATGGGGGGGCGATAGAAAGCAACTAACCGGCGCTGTTACATAATGCGGGCTGTTTTTAAACCGCGGCTTCCGGTGTGACTATGGAAACCCTCGGATTATGTAAATACCGACTGCCGAGCCTGCGATTTACCGCTTCCCGTTCCCCCCCCGCCCCGGGAATTAGCCGCTGTTCACGTGCAAAAATAACAAAAATGGGGCGGCGGGCGCCGGGCGGCGGCGCGGGGCCGCGCGCGCGCTCCCCGCGCCGAGCGGCAGCGCGAGTTTTAGTTTCCCTGCAGCCAAACACCTGTTATTCGCGTGTAACCCAGTGGCACGGCATGGAAAAGGTTGTGCGCGCAGCTGTGCTGCCCGTCTCGGTTCAGGTTTTGTTAATCTTGCGCCGTGCCGGCTTAGTGATTCCTGCCAGGCGCTGCTTATCGGCACGCGATGTGCTCCCCCACCAACCCCGCTCCCTGTCCCGTGTGTTTTTGTTTTCTAGCGAGCTATTGGCAGAAGGCGCTACGACGAGAACGAGGACCTCTCGGATGTGGAGGAAATCGTCAGCATCAGGAGTTTCAATTTGGAGGAGAAATTAAAGAGTAAAACGTATCGCGGGGATTTCGTGCGTGCCATGGACGGGAAAGGTAACGGGCGGCCCGGCGGGTGCTCGGGAATGTCGCCAAGGCGGCAGCAGCCCCAGCCCCCACGTAGCCCCGGGGGATTCCTGCCCCCTGCGGAATCCAGGAGCTTTCCCAAAGGATGCAATGGATGAGCCCGTTCTCCCGGCTCACAGCGTTTAGAGTCAATGAGTGCTTTGTGCTTGTGCCCTCTGCTAARTTGTGCCCAGCCCGGTTTGCGCGGGGGACTTAAATTCCGCGGCGCGAGCGGCGGCCGGGCCGGGGCCAGGAGCCCGCCGGGTCACCTGCATTTACCGCCCGCATTTACCGGCACCGTCATTTACCGGGACACGGGATCCCCAGGGAAAAGGGTCCCCCCTCCCGAGGGCCGCGCGCGCCGGCTCCTTTGGGCTCTAATCCCCGTGAATTGGTGCTAGCTGCGGAACTGCTAATCTCCTCTGGAGTATTTCCTTTTATTTATTTATTTATTATTTTTTTATTTTTTTCTCCCTAGGCTTGGTTTTGCATGAGCATTTTAAGCCTCTCTTAGAGAAGATAACGTGGTGGAGCAATTAAATACCTCCCTTATTTAGGAAGTTATTTGCTTAGGAGATAAGCTCCACCCTGACCCCTCTTCCTCCAAACAAAAACACCTATTTAATTATTTTTAGTTCTAAATGTTAATTAATTTTCCAGAAAACGGTTGCATTTTACCCTCTTTTCCCTCATACTCTAGTGATTGCCATTGCTACTTGCTAACTATAGCACGAGCCGCAGTTTTCCTGGCTCAGCAGCTCTAAAATCTTTTGGTAGCTTTCTCCTTTCTGGGAACTTGAAAATAAATGAGTGTCTTTTGTTATTTTGTTGTGGTCTGTGTCTGCTTTGTTCAACCCCGCAAGGGATTTAAATGCTTTGTTGGGCCATTATAAAGAAAGGGCCTGTCTCCTTATTTGCTCTGCACTTATTTTTACTATTGGTTATTTTTTTTTCTATAAATCCTGAAGTTGGAATTGAGTCTAGGCAAAACAATGACAGCGTTTGGGAAGAATAAAAAAGTCAGGTTATATGAACACATGGAATTGGTTGAGTGATTTATTTATTTATTTTCCATGCCCTTGTTCTCAATGATAACTCCTCTTTGAATTTTTTTGCCAGGAATGTGGGCTGGAGGTTTCTTCAGAGGTGCTATAAAGCTGTGATGTGATTTTTGGCTTTAATTGCCATTTGTCATAGCTGCTTGTTCTCTAGTTTGCTGGGCTGTGTTTCTGCCTCTGCTGCTTCTACCCATGTTGTTCCTGAAGTGCATTATCTGTTTACTCTGTCTTGGATGAGAGGGTCCTTAAAAATAAGGAGGGGGGCAGGAAACCTGTGGTTTATTTACTTGCTTAACTAAAGCCAGAAGTCTTCCTTCCCCACGTGTATTCATAGTAAAAGAGTTTTCTAACAGAGAAGAACTTATTTGGTAACCTTAGTTTACCCGAGTATTAATTACAGAAACTTTATTGCTACTATTCTGAAGTTAAGTGCATTTTAAATGTTTCAGTAAACCGATAATTACTGTTCTCTGATTTGGTAAGTCTAGGGAGTAATATTATATCTGTAATAATCATAACTGCTAACTGAATACAGTGAGGGAAAAGCTGTAAAGGGAGAGGGGGAAATACATGCCTAGGCCCAGGAGCTTAGCCTCCTTTTTTATTTATACCAGTATATATTTTTATAGTAAGAAATACTATAGATATAAGTTTGTCTAGGGAGATCCATGAGAAAGATGGACCTTGGTGACTGAATTTTGGAGAAGTTAAACTGATTGCATATGCAAAAATATAATACGTAGGGTGCACAGTTTGTGAGTGTTGTGGCTTAATCACTAGAGAGTTAAACAGTGTTTTTCTGTATTGCATGGAGGTATACAAGATTGGCTCTCCTTTAAGAAAGAAGGCATCACAGAACCCCAAAACGCTACGTGGCCTCCGCAATATTTTAATATTTTGTTGGCTCTCTGCATCAGAGTGCCCCGAATGGGCCATGAGACTTGGGTGGGCACCTCTCGCCCAAAGGGCTGCTCTGTAACCTCTGCCCTAGGCATGAAGACCTCACGTTGCATCAAAGTCCTGCGTTTAGAAATGCTCACGAGGGGCCAATGTGCGACAACTTCAAAACGTAGCAATGCGGATTCTGGTCCCCGTTAAAATAGCAAACTTCATGAACTCTCTCTTTTTTTTCTTTTAATTTTCCTCCTCTTAAAAAAAAAAAAAAAAAAAAAAAAACCCTTTTGTGTGTGCTATACTATAACTTGCACAGCTTTTTCCTTTTTGCCATTCTTTGTATGTGCCAGAAACTGTAGGATTTCTACATATCAGCTCCCGCAGAGTTAGGCTTCTGATTAATTACAAAAAGAATGTGATCTGTTGAAAGTAATGGGATCCTTCACATAAAAAAAAGCRTTCAAAGAATCAGGGCATTGGCTTATATTCAAATAATGCTCACAAAAAAAGCTTTCCTTTCCCTCCTCCCCTCTCTAAATATAAATAGGTAGCTTAGCCTAAACGTTAGCCTAACACTAGCAGCCCGCTTTAGGGTACTTTAGTTAGAATTATCTTTTAACTGCTGACTTGGTATTTCATTACAACCTGATGTTTCAGCCCAGGCCTTAATTGACAAACTGTGACTGGGTTCTGGTTTATGTGCATCAGTGAACAGGAAAAATAGGGAGCAGCTGGGAGAGCCGTGTCCATCAGGGAGTTTCTGCTTTGGACCTAAAATATGCAATCTCTTTATATTTTTGCCCAAGTGATAGTTCTTTGGTGAAAAGGGGAAAATGGAGAGCAATTGGAGAACATGAAAGATGAGGTGCCAGGGTCTTTCTAATTGATTTTTTTTCTCTKATCTCAACAGATTTTACTTTTGAGTATGTGCAAAGAGAAGCTTTGAGAGTTCCCCTCATCTTCAGAGATAAGGATGGACTGGGAATTAAGTAAGTTGCAACTGAATCTTGTTGATTAATAAGTATTTTTGTAAAAAAAAGTTGATGCTTTGCACTTGTATATGGTATTTATTTTGATGATCTCAAAATTTATTGCAATTAATAAGACTGTGAGTACCCTTGTAAGAAGAAGKTTTTTTTTTTTCCCCTCTTTATAAGCAAGCAGCTAATGAGACCTATAAGAGTTAAATGCATTCAGTGTTGTTCTACACAGTCAAAAATAAGTCTGTGATAAAAGTCTGGAGCAAAATTCAAGGGTTCTGGCTTCCAGTCCACACTGTAATGACAGAACAACCTCCCTTAAACTTTTGACTTCCTAATTGTTTTCTGTTATAGGTGCAATAGCTAATGCRGCCTGCCTTTTACCAAATGTCTCTTCTGAAGGCTGTAGCTTTGTAAATGTTTAATTTATAGCTAAAAGATGGTATTATTATGGTCTTTTTGAGGTTGCATTTTATTATATCTATTCATAAAGGATTTGTTATTTTGTTAAATTSCTGATTGGAAGTTGTATTGTTTTTTGTCTTAGTTACAGCTAAGACAGCTCCTGTAACTTAGTTACAGCTCCTGTAACTATTTTTCATAGAAGTTACAGTGTCTAAAAGATTTAAATGATATATTTCATCAGTCACRTAACACACAGCTTGGCTAAATGTTTTCGGATGCTTCTGGTGATTATGTCTGTGTGACTATTACTGTATGAAAGATGGAAAATGAAAGCACAAAGTTCCTTGCTCAGTTTCAGCTGGAAGGCTTAAAGTTTGAAGTGGCAAGTCCCAGGAAATTAATAATTAGCCATAAAAAAAAAAAAAAGCCATTTCAATTGATTTAATGTGAATGAGAGAGAAGGTTTGGTTCTGGGGAGCACAAGTGCTTTTCTGAGTGAGAAAGAGAAGATGGGAGACTCTTATGCAGCCAGAGGTCTTTGGACAGGTTTTATTGGGCTCCCTGACTGCAGTTACACCCACCGAGTGCTTGTACATTGCCACTGTATGTGCGTGTGTAGCCATCATCCGAGGCCGAGATTCTTTTACTTTAGCAGGAGCTTTGTCATGTTCAGCAAATTCCTGCTCACCTGTGTGCTCTACGCTAACTCAGTCAACTTGCCAKCCTGGTTCCTCACTTCCTCTCAGCCTCCAGCTGTTGTTCCCTCCTTGGATGTTTTTTCCTGTTGTTTTAGAATCTCTATTTTTTCTGGCCCTCCCTCTGGCTCCTCTGCTCAACTTGACAGAGATTTGTTTSTTGTTGGATGTTGTTGCTACTCTCTCTGCTCAGTACATCTCTTCAAGAGAGGCTCCCCTAGCAGGAATCTCCTGAAGGACACATCTACTGTGGAAAATCCCAGCTCCCACAGGTGCTCTCCCAGGATGCCTTTCTTTTACTCTGCTGTTTCCAAAGGTCAGGCAATAAAAGCTTCAAGGACTTGTTCTGGAAGAAACCATTGCCCTTCCCTGCAAGAAGGGAGTTATTGGGWAGCAGGGAGAGTAGGACTCGGACTCGTTCTGAAGTGCACTGGCTCTGGCACCTCATGGGTGTGATTGATCAAAGCACCGATCCAACCTGTTGTGTGTCCTTGTTAATACTGGTGGCTGCTGGGATCACCGGGAGCCTGAAGGACAAACAAGAGACTTTGGGCACCATCTGCGAGCCTTAGCGTTCTCACAGCATCAGAACAGGTATCTGTTCTTCAGCACAAGTGAAGTGCAGCTGTTAGTGCCTCCGTCTTCTCTCTTCATGGTACTGTCTGCATGTTGAGCTTGGTGTGGGAAAGCCTGTGCACCTGAAAGGGAGCAAAATGTACATCTTCTGTAGCACTCACTGTCAGTCCTAGCAGCCACATCTTCCCCGTGGGTATGAGGAAGCTCCCAAGTTCCTCACCCGACAAGAAGAAAGCCGTGAGGGGAGTATTTCAGCTTTTACTGCGTCAACGCTGCCAGCCCAGCTAGTGCTCCGTCCCTGGGGGCATCTGGACGTGACAGTTTGTGCCGTGGATATAAACGCCACTGGCTTTGGATTCTCCATCCTGAAGAACAGAGCTTTATTGGAGCTGGATGTTGAGCATCACAGCTCGGGTACCAGCGTATTCCCTGCAGTTGCRGTGCTGCCTCCAGAGCTCAGGCTGCTGATGATAGGCCAGGTCCTCCAGGAAGATTCCCTGATTCCTGGTGTCTCTGTCTGCAAGATATAATCTGTCTTTCTCTTGACAGCTGATTATTCAGGATTCTGTGATGAGGCAGTTTTACCTTAGCCATTTTGGCACTCAGATTTCAGCTCACATCATCCTTTGCTCCCCTGTTGTTTCTGTGCTTGCGATCTGGAGAGCTGCCACCTGGCACCTCCCTCCACTCTCACTTCGCTGCAGGCCTTGGCTGCAGCTTCCTAGTATGACAGTGACTTTCAGAGAGTCAGTTTTGGTCTTTCTTTATCTATTGGTTCAGCAACTCCCCTCCAGCTAGTGGTATTTTGTGAGGAGCTCAATGTGTTTCTTGATTCATGTGTCACTTTTTTTTTCCCCAGAATGTGGGTTTTTAGCTGTATTCACAGGCAGCCTCCTAGTCTTCTTGGAAGTCACCAGTAATTGTGCTTAAGACCTTGGAGAAGATGAGGGCTTGGGCTGTGTACCCATCCTGCCTGTGCCCATGAGCAACGTGTAGAGGCAGACCAGGTTGTCAATGACTGTGTTTTGCTGAAGCAGAAACAGTCTCACATGCTTCCATGTATATACATATACAGCATGAATGAGCATGCCCAAAGACGAGTGTAAAAAAACAGAGTGCCTTTCTCTGTAAGCATTAACAAAGCTGTCAAATAGTTTTTTAAATCATGTTGGAAGTGGAGAAGTAGCAGAAAAGACCGAATGCCGCCTGATTTTTGCTCTTGGAGTTTTGCAGAGTTGACAATAGCATAATACAGCCTTTGAATTCTGATCTGGATTGTGAAGAGATGGAAGGGGGTAAATACTAATCCACAGGAATTTTTGGAGTCATTTTCCTGACTGTCACACTCGCAGGCTTTGCAAATTGAAGGAGAATATCTGTTTCAATTTGCTGTGACGAGCTTAAAATAGTCTCCTAAGCCAGGCTTGAGTAGCTTTTTTGTTTGCTACCAACTGCTGCTATCCTTGTAAGGCCAATCTGACATCTTCCCTTTCCTGTGCTGTTTCCTTCTCCCTTCCACACCTCATGTGCAGCTTCTTCCAGTAGGYGGGATTTGCTGTCAGAAAAGAAAAAGAGAGTAAAACTAAGGAGGATATTTTTGAGCAGTATCCAGTAATAGTGGRAGCAAATTATTTCTGATACATGAGTTTTAGATGGTCCCTGCACAGGATCACTGGAATTCTTCATTTCACAGTTAGTTGGGCAAATTGTTCTGATATTTCCATTCTCTTCTGAATCACTGAATAATGGCTGCTGTAGTGGAGTAAAATACTAGAATTTATAGATAGTAATCTTACAGGAAATTCCATGCTTTAATCTTTTTATTTAAATGAGCACAAGTTGTTAATTTGATGTGGTAAAGGAATTGTACGTTCTTGGGAGTAGATGTCTCCAGAGTAAGAGGATGTTGGAAGTAAATTTTATGCATGTTTTAAATGACAAGTGAAATGCATGGGCAAGCTTTGATATTTGGTACTCTAAAACAGCATGATTTAATTCTACTCGTATTTGCTCTTACACGTATCTACCCAGAATAACTGGCATGTAAGACATAGGTTTTGTGGGTGTGCAGGTAAATAAATGTGTGTTGTACTGAGCAAAATCAAAAYAGTGCTGGCCCCTGCCTGGGGCATTACCTTCCTAATTAATTAACTGCTCTGAAACCATCAGAACCTTCAGCCTCATTATCCTGACATCTACCCACTGCTCTGGACTCCAGAGGAGGTGGCTAGGAAAGAAGTCCTTCCTAGCAATCCTGTCCCTTGTCCAGGGCAGGCTGCATTTATTGTAGTTTGGAAGGCTGGGTCATTCGCAGGGAGGTGGGAAGCCCTTTGAGATGCCTTCAAAGCYGTTGTGCATGAGCAGGGTAGGGTCTTCCAGCGGCGCTCGCTGCTGAGCGGCCAGCTCGTGTCTGCTCCCCAACGGCACGGCTGCCCCGTGGCCCTGCTGTGACTGGGGGTGCTGCAAAGCGGCAAGAAAGGAGGTGGCTGAGGAGAAAAAAAAAAATTAACAAATGAAGCTTTGAAAATTGCTTACGTGCAGGTTTCTGACCACAGAGAGTGAGCTTGGGAAGATGTCTCTCTTGTGTGAGCTGCAGCCCTCTTGCCTTGTGTTAGATCTGTGCTCCCCCAAGCTGCTGCTCGAATAAGGGGCTGCTTTGGAGGATCCACGAGCGCTTCATGAACTCTGAGCTTGCTGAGACAACGTGAGAACGCTGAAGCTCTGCTCAGATACAGGCAGTAGAAATTTCAGAGACTTTTCTGTGCAAGCGGAGAGGGGATTGGTTCTGTTGCTGAACCTCATGGCTATAACTTCTGCCACAATGTTGTAGGTAGGGTGACTGTTGCTGGCTGTTTTGATATATTTTTGATATATTTTTGATATATTCAAAAAGCAGGGATATGCCAGGTGTGCTTTCCCAGTGTGATGTGTAATTTTATTGTTAAGGAGGATTATTTTCTTTCAGTTTGAGTAACGTTCATTGCCAGCTGCTCCTGGAGTTCTCAGACTGGATTTGCTTATATGCTCCTGGGTTAGGGTTGTTGCCTTTTTTCTTTTTTTTCACATCTGTATTTAAAAAAAATCTAATTGTTACATATGTCTGGCCATAAAACACAAGTGCTTTAATTTGAAGATGAGCCTTGCACGTTCTTGCTGCCCCAAGCAGTTCCTCCTTTCCCTCCCCATGACTCGGCAGCGCTTGGCTAAAACCAAGAGCTTGAGTGAACGCRGGAGGTCACCAGATTCAGAGTGGCTCCTTGCAGCGCGGGAGGGAATTCCAGAGCGCTGGGGCCCTCGCAGCTACGGGAGAGATGGGAGGGATGGCGAGACCTAACAAAAGATCCTGTCCAGCCTCTGCATCCCACCGGGGAAGGTGATAAGGATGAAAGTAAACGGGCAAACAAAACTTGGCAAGCGGTTCTCTCGAGATCTAGGCATGACACGAAATGTATCTTTACTTTTCAGTGTTTTCTCAGGAATAAAACGTGGCCTATGAGCTGAATAACTTCTTTCTTTAAAGTGTGTGTTTTTCAAAATTGCTTTTTGAGCAGAAGCAAGTTGTTTATCTCCAAGCCACAGCAGTGCAAGGGGGTCAGAACCACTGAGCTAGTGGTTCCAACTGAGTGTTCTTGATTGAGATTCTGTAGTTAATTTTCATGCCCCGAAGATGTGAGGTGTGAAATATTCTCACTGAGATGTAGAGGACCAACTTAATCCTCTGCTGCTTTTGCTTTACTCTTCTGTCATTTCTGTATGTTGTGGAATTTTATTCTTTCCTCACGTTTGAAATTCACACGTGTTACAGTATTGCATAATTACAGTGAAACCTAAATTATTGTCTGTACTGGGGGCAATGTTATGGAGCATGATTGGTTTGCTGATGCCAGCCTATCCAAATTAGCGCTAAGTGAATTGGCTTCAGTGAGAATTTCCCTACCCCCTAAATACAGTCAAGTTGTTTTCCACAGGGATGTTGCTAGAAATAGTGTTTTAAACCCAGGGACTCTAATTCATAATCTTCAGGTTTTTATTTTCAAGCTGTGAATCCGGCATAGATGATGTGACTTCGACCCTGTGTTTATCATTTTGCTTAGAAATGAAATCCCTACCTTGGGGAATGCRTGTGGGGCAGGAGCATTTGCAGAGCCCTTGGGGTGGCTTAGAAGGAATGGGCAATGAAACTTGGGGATTTCTTGAAATCACCCCCAGCCCCTTCCCTTCCCTCCTATTCCACGGAGTGTAGAAAACTTTTGCTAGAGAGTGCTTGAAAAAACACCTTTTTTCCTCCTCTTTTATGAGCAGAGGGACCTTTGTGCACTTGCCAATACAAAGATGTTATGTATGTCATTAAAAATTACACTGGCCACACTTCACTGAGGCCTTGCTCCATTCCCCTACTGCTTTATGGACAAAGAGCACTATACCTTTATGTCTTTTATTATGGTAACGAAAGTGTTCCCATACTTATCGTGACAGTATTTAACGTTGCTTTCTTTGCTAATTATAGAATGCCTGACCCGGATTTCACCGTCAGAGATGTGAAGCTATTAGTGGGTAAGTTATTTTGAATGCACTGGATTAACTCTATAGAGAACTGAATTGCTTTGAAATACTTGCCCAGTTGTGTTGGTAGACATTTGTGATAACTCGCAGAATGTGAYGGAAGGCACGGAGAGGCAATTTGTAAATTAAAAAGGCTGGGAGAGCCCTAATTAGTCGTCGTGCTGACCAGGCTCTGATCTCATGCGGGATAATTGGCCATTTGAAGCGGGCCGAATGCTTTGGCTCTTAACAGGTGTCCTACACCCACTTTTGTGGTCTAGGAAAGCGGCTGTTTTATTGATGGAGTTGGTAGGGGCTTTATCTCTTGCAGAGCATCTGTTTGTGGTGGGAGCCTCTCACCCCGGGCCTGGGCTCCCCTCCTGCCCCCCCAGTGCGGGGCCAGGTCAGTGCCTTGAGGAGAGGCTGCCGGGAGAGACGGAGCACAGAGCTCTGCAAACTGCCCCGCCGCCTCGAGAGCAGGCACCGTGTCCTCATCCGAGTGCCAGAGGTGTCACCTTTTTGATAAAACACAAAACAGATAAACAGTGTCAGCAGTTATCAAGTATTCCAGAGCAAATTTTGTAAAAGATTTTTTAAATCTCTATTAAACTTTGTATGTTGAATGCTTGAAAAATAATCTTTTACTTAAGATGGATGTGTTATTTTTCATTTGTCTGAAATTGTTATTCCGTGTTAATGTACTTGGTTAAGGAGTAGCTGTGGAGCTTGTTTTAGTGGGCAGTTTTGTTAACTTCTCTGTAAAGTACTGCAGTTTAGCTGCCTTTCTTGCATTTAGAATTTATTAGTATTATTTAGCTGGTGGCTATTAGTATTATTTACCTAGTGGCAAGATTCTTTTAATCCAATTGTTGCACTCTAAAAGAAGAATTWTTGCAACGTTGTTGACATTATTACTCCTTAGGAATGCCAAGTCTGAAAAAGATCTAGTTAAGCAAAATGAGGGGGAGGAACTCGGGCCTCAGCTCTGTTCAGTCGGGGTTATCTGTGGAGAAGGGGTTATCTCTGCTAATCCTTCCTTCACAAACACAGCTTGGCAATGTTGCTTAATTTACGATTATTTATAAGTTTTTTTTGGAAAAAAAAAAGGTTCTTTAGTAGAAAATGGTAGAGAAGTGGGGTAGGAAGCGTTTCGTAGCATTTTTGGTGGTCAATCTGTAGTTAAAACAGGAAATCATACGAGGGTATCTGGAAGCCCTTGTCAGATTTATGGAATCCTAAACACTTGCATGTGCCTGGTTGTAGGTACTGAATCCATTCCTCTTGCTATGGGAGAAGCCCAATGCATTTGCTTTTTAATTATCAGGCTGCTGTTTGCATTTTTCTGTGAATTTTCTCTTTTTTCTTTTGTTATTTTTTTGGTCTCTGAAGCGGCCTTAGGATCTGACTCCGAGATGTTTTGGAGCAGTGCAGTGTTGCATAACAACATTGTTTTTCCTGTAAAAGAGTCAAAGTGTGGGAGTTGCGTTTCCTCAAGATTGATGTTCCTGGAATTATTAGGGGGTGGAGATTCTTATGTGCATGGCCAGCGAAGCAGGAGGATATTGATAAATAAAAACAGATGTATAAAACAATGGAGTAGAAATAACAATCATAATGAACTTGGAGATTAGCTTCCATGCACAGTTTCTCCCAGCCGGTTCAGCAGTCTGTGCACATGCACCAGGCCAGACAGGCACGTTGGACATCCTTCTTTTTATTGTGTTTGGACAATCTGCCTTTAGAATCACTGTCCTGAACCTGTAATTTAGTTATGAACACTGTCACCTGATGTCTTTTTTTTTTTTTAATACAATTGATTGCTTCTGGCATAGCAGGTGGAAAATTTGATTCAAAACAATTCTAAAATATTTAGGCAATTGACAGTAAGTTATCTGGAAATCCACTGCTTTTATGGAATATAGTTTCTGCCACTGGAATTTGTACCCTATGTAAGGGTCACATTCAGACTTGAAGGATATGAAYGCAATTCCCATGCCTATGCCTAATTTCTAAGTGATGTAGATCAATAAGATGTTATTAACATCTGTTGTTTTCCTGGCATTTTTGGGCAGCCTTCTCAGATAAGCTACAGGTAGCTGCGTTTCTGAAATGAGGTGTCTTCAAAACATTGTGTGTTGTTGAAACTGGAAGGGGAATGATGTTTGGCAAATGTGAAATGCAGTGATCATAACTCTCCCCATTTGAATGTGCGTGGGATTCAGTAGGTAGAGAATATGGTTTGAGAAATGTTGTGTTCTGTGCAAAGGTGTTTCTTTTTTTTAAGTGCTCATCATTATAGTATGCAGACGCTATTTAAACCTATCATTTGTTCTCTTTCTCCCTAGAATTGGGGGGAATCATGTTTGTTAGGGTGTTCGGAAGATTGAGCTGCTTTTATATATATATATGCTTTTATATATATAAACTGCATACATTTTAGAGGAAGTTACTGAATCTTTGCTCTCAGGTTATTCTGTAATCTTTGCCTTCTCTTTATAACATAATTGTTAAATCATCTTCAGAGCAGGACAGCTGTAAGTCACACGGAAATAATTACATTTGGATGCCCATTTTATTTTTAATTTCRCTTTGAAAACTTCAGCGTGTGGGGATAATAAGGGGAGGGGAAACACAGTTTATTCATCAGTGCTAATGCTTACTTGGATTTTGTTGATTAGGTTTTTAAAGAAGCAGTTTTTGACAATATTTTTCCAGCAATCCAGAGAAGTGTTACGATTGTTCGCTAGGTTTTTGACTTCCAGGAATTCTTTTTAAAGGGCAGATACCAGCTGTAATTTACTCTAATGTTTATGCTTTATTCAGTATCACACATGAATATGCATGACTCTTCATCTGTGTGTAATATATGTGAGCAAAGCACTCCTCCAGTACAGTAGCTTTGCTTTAAAGGACAGCCGCTTAAAGTGTGCAGTTGGAGCGATAGTTACAGCTAAACTTCTGACTCCCACCTCCATACCAGAGAGATCCTGGATTTTCTTTAAATCTAAACCAGTGGATTAATTTCAACTGGATTAATTTCAATGGCTGCGAGCCAGGAGTGCAAATAGGGAAGGGGAGAGGAATTAGTGGCTTACTTGGGAACTCGAGACAGCTCTCAAAGGAGGAAAAAATCTGTTGTAATCTAATAACTATTAGGCTTTATAACTTCATCCTTGAGGTGGATTTGAGTATTAATTCTGAAAGACAGAACGTCGTCGTCGTCTCATCATAAACCGACGTAAAATTTGGMTAAGAGGGTCACTGGCCCTCCTGCGTTTCCTTATTAAACTTTCCGTGCAGGTACTTGGAGTGCTGTCGTGCAGGCCCAGGCTGCCAGGCTAGTGCCCTGTTGGATTTAGTACCTGCACGGGGCTGTGCAAAGAAGGGCACTGCAGTAGCTAGTAGGTACTGGGYCTTTTTTTATTATTCCAGCCCAGAGGAGTCAGAGATGGAGAGAAAACGAAAAGCTTGAGCCTCCAACACGCTGCTCAAGTGCTTCGTCTGCTCCTGACTGAATCATAGGACCCTTAAGGTTGGAAGGGACCTCTAAAGATCGTCTAGTCCAACCTCCCTGCACGTGCAGGGTCACCTAGAGCATGTGGCACAGGATTGCATCCAAGTGGGTATTTATATATACGTATATATACACACACACACACATATTATTATATATAGTTATATATATATGAATGCAGGGCATGTGCTTCACTCTGATATCAGAAAGCCAAAACATTCTCTGTTCTGTTTTGATTTTTATATATATATATATATATATATATAATTCTTTGTGCATCATATAATCTGAGGGAAAAAAAAATGGAGCACCGAGTAGTTTTAGAACCTATGAATAAAGGAGGAAAAAGAGGAAGCGTGAATGTGTGCATCAGTGTGAGCTCCCTTTCTTTCTCTTTGACTTCTTTTTAGTGATTCCCATGGGTCAGCATTGATTGAGTTTAAAAGAGTTTCTGCTTTTCTCTGGCATCTGCAGTGTCTCACCCTTTGACTTGTAATTGATGCCTGCCCTGCCTTTATCTCCCCGGGTCGTCACAGGAAGGTCAGGAAATCTCAGGGTAGCTGGGGAGTCCGCGCGCGAGCGCGGTGTCGTTTGCTAGGCAGGAGAAGCCAGGCTGGGTTGCTTTAATTTTTTATTTCTCAACTGAGCCCCTTTAGTGTGCTTGCTGTTTATCACTGTTGGATCCCAGTGTTTCCACGCAGGCAATCCTGGATGAACTGGAGAGCTCCTGCTGATCCCCATAACGTGTTCCTCACCTCTCCGTAGGCGGAGGAGGTCCGGGTCAGAAGGAGCTTGGAGCGCGAGGCCATGGATGCACCGTGGAGCCCAGCTTGCCAGGAGAGGCTAGTGGTGAAGGAAGAGATTGCAAAACACATTGAGGATTTTGAGAAAGAAAAGAGACTTCTGGTTATTGTGATCCCTGGGCTGAAGAGGTTAAAGTTGTGACCGCAGCGGGCGCTTCTGTGGCCTGGCGCCGTTGTCCTATAGACCTCCCCATAGGTGCTGGGCGTTGTGTCRCTGGGAGCAGGGCGCGTGCAGCACCGTCCGTGGGGTGCTCTGACAACCGAAATAAACCCACTGACTGGTTTTGGTTTTTTTCTTTACCTTACTAAAGGTTTATTAATAAGATTTAAAAATAAGTGTAGAAGCAGGGACGAATGTATCATTAATCACTTTTTTTTTTTTTTTTTTTCTGTTAAAATCTGGTGTTGTAGAACAGACCTTAATCCTTCCGCAGGTCAAAAATGTTTGGTTCCCTTCTGGTTGCTGGTTCTTTTCACTGACTGCGCTGAAAGGCTCTATTGCTTTTGGCTTAAAGATCCAAGGGAAGTTGAAAGCAACAAAGCTGTTAAATGTGACAAAATCGGTGCGTTGAGGTATGGCATTAAAAAGTAGACAGGACAAAGCTTTGCAAACTCTTGCAAAGAACAATGTCCTCTTTGGCCCTGGGAGGTGATGGACAAGATGGGACCAATAGATCATTTCAATATTTGATTTC